TACCAAAAGAATGGAAAATCTCGACCATAGTTCCGGTAAAAAATGTGGAAAAACTGTAAAAGCTGAGGAAATTAGACCAATTAATACACTGCCTAGCATGGAAAAAATCTTGGAAAAAAATCAGATGGTGCGCCACATTGAAAGTAAAAACTTACTCATTAAGGAGCAATCAGGTTTTAGAACTAAACACTCTTGCGAGACTGCGCAAAATTTTGTTATATCCCAGTGGAAGGAGGACCTTAACTCGAAGATGAATATCGTTGCGGTTTTTATTGATCTCAAAAGGGCTTTCGAGACCACTGAACAAAAATATGGCACCGTTATGGCGTCGTTTCGCACAAACGCACAGCAAAGCAACAAAATAAACGCTAATTTTTGCGTTTCGCATCAAAAAGTAAACTTCTTTTAAATATATTTTTTATATACTTTTTTCCAGCCAGAAACATCCTTTTGGGGAGGACCATGCTCGTTCAGTTCGACGATTAAGTCTTTCCACAGTGCGTCCACTTTCGTTTTGTCACCCTTTACGTAGCCCCGTGCAATGTCCTTGTGGTCTTCCATAAATTTAAGAAGGATCGCCTCCTGTTTGGAATTCTTATGTTTTCCCCTGAAACAATTAATTTATGTAAAATTTGTTACTCCAATCCTTCTTATTAGTTTTTTTTATTAATATATCTCATTATTAATTTTAAATTTACTCACATTTTCGTCACGATCACAACCGCCAATTTAAAATTAGTTTGTATGCATAAAATCCACAAACTTGAAACGAAGTGAATGAAATTTGAAGATTTTTTCGCGGATTCGTTTATCAGAACATCCAAATTCAGTCGGAATTCATTTAAAAAAAAAAATGTGGAAATGAAACTCGGAAAGTGAAACACAGAACACCAAATGTCGGATTCAGAGTGAATTTGGTTCAAATTCACTCGGAAGTGAATTGCAGAACCTGCCTGAGTATAAAGGAAAGGCGAGCTTTTTTGTACGCGGTAATCTCGAAAACTACTGATCGGATTTTGACGATATTTTCTTTAATATACTCTGTATCGACAGGAGACTTAGAATGCCACCTGTCTAAAAAACTATAAGATTGCGCTGATTGATGTGAAATTCGGGAGAGTAACGTGAGTATGACGTCATGCAGATTTCCCGGTGGAGAGAGCTAAGAGAGATCTATCAGTATTTTTATGTTTTGCATATGTATATGTACATCACACAGGCAATATACAAAAACTCCTATGACGTCATATTTCTGTCAAAATTTTCAAGAGAGTTGCGGTATCACAATCAGCTCCACCTTCTGTATTCGTTTCACCATGGGCAGTATCAATAGTGGGCGATATTTCCTTTAAATTATCGATAGTCTATCGTTATTCGTTTATTTTGAAAAAGATAAAGATCTAATTGGGGCGTATTTGTAGTCAAACTTAAGTTGGTGCTTAAAATTAGTTGTAAATTTATTGACAGATAACCCATCCAAAATTATAGGGGCTCCCCTTAAACTCGTAAAAGGCTCGTAAACCTCGTAAAAGAACTGCCAAGATTTGTATGGTATGTTCTATTTACGAGCCCCTCGTAAAATTCCGAGAAGCGGAAAATTATACACTAAAATGCATTTTATAATATTGAAATCAATTGAAAAATAATAATATGTAAATAAAAAGAATGAATTCCATCTATTAATTGTACTAACATGGGTTTTCTGCTAATTTTCTGCATTTTCAATTTTATTTTAGCCAATAGTGATAGAGACAAGATGGCGGGATGTTATGGAAAATACTACGAAACGTAGATTGTTTCACAAAATCCTGGTTTATCTATCAAACAGTCAGTTAACGCACCTTTTCACAAAGGGGGCGTTCCAATAAAAGCCTCGTAAACTTACGAGTTTTACACAGTTTAAGCCTTTACGAGTTTAAGGGAATCCCCTATATGTAAAAAATCAATTAACTTTAAGGCTGTGTGCGTGTTGACCTAAATTTTAGGACGTAAACTAATATTCCACTGAAAATTCCCAGCACTGCTACAATTTAGGAAAACAACTGCGAAAACCTAAATTGTTTGGGCATAAGTAAAAAATAGGCCTAGATAAAAAGAAAAAGGGCGCATCTCAGTATATCAAATAAACAAACTGAGCTGTGTGTTTTCACCAAATTTGGTCCCCATAAAGGACTAGGGTTGTAGGCAACGCTTTTTTGGCAATTGGGGTGTTAGCAGCAATTTAATGTGGTGAAAATTATTTTAGAAATGGATAGAAAAATATTGAAGTGCGCTTGAACAACTCATGTTTAACTGAAATATAAATGTATTAAGAATATTGATTTTATTATTACCCATTTTTTTTATTTTACTGTATCGAAGCGGCTGCCCAAATATATGTAATTTAGTATTTGAGTTGATTGTGAAATATATTAAATGTACAAATTAAGTTATGGGAGCGACTTATTTACATGGAATTGGTGACAGGGCTGGTAGATTTACTTTAAATAAATTGTGATCTGAAGATTATCTATAGCTGCTTTTACATCATCAAAATTGAAAGCTGTGCCAGCGAACATCACGTATTTCTCCGCCTTCCTTATTAGTAAAGAACGTACGTTCTTTGTTATTAGCTCATGTATATATTTATATATATATTCGTTTGGGCCGTGTTCGAAGCACACATGTCTCGAAACCACCAGGTTTTTCTTTATTTACTGGAGGACTTGACAATTTGCTCGGATTATCAAGAACCTCATCTACAGTAGGTAGGGGGCTATGGGTGAAGGCTCTGAAACTGATGTTAGTACCGTTTCTCCATCAGCTAGGGATCATGCGGTATAGCGGCAATTTCAGGATAACCTTTACCATCGCCTGAGGCATTAGCTTCAGCGCCACCACTAGCACCAAATTTACCACCTTCGTCGACTACCGGTCCCGTCAATGGAATTTCGACATTCTTCTGGCAATTGTGAATACAAGCTGCCTACTATTTGGCATTTAGCATGTTTGGAGCACATCGTAAATAACGCC